TCCATTGCTGCTGCTGCTGCTACTACACGAGCTGTTTCCATTGCTGCTGCTGCTGCTGTTCTTACACGAGCTGTTTCCATTGCTGCTGCTGCTGTTCCTACACGAGCTGTTTCCATTGCTGCTACTGCTGCTGCTACTACACGAGCTGTTTCCATTGCTGCTGCTGCTGCTGCTGTTCCTACACGAGCTGTTTCCATTGCTGCTGCTGCTGCTGTTCCTACACGAGCTATTTCCATTGCTGCTGCTGCTGCTGTTCCTACACGAGCTGTTTCCATTGCTGCTGCTGCTGTTCCTACACGAGCTGTTTCCATTGCTGCTGCTGCTGCTGCTACTGCTGCTACTACACGAGCTATTTCCATTGCTGCTGCTGCTGCTGTTCCTACACGAGCTGTTTCCATTGCTGCTGCTGCTGTTCCTACACGAGCTGTTTCCATTGCTGCTGCTGCTGCTACTGCTGCTACTACACGAGCTGTTTTCATTGCTGCTGCTACTGCTGTTCCTACATGAGCTGTTTCCATTGCTGCTGCTGCTGCTACTGCTGCGTCTCCAACAGCTGCCGCGCCCACACTGTGACACGTGGGCATGTCTCTCCTATGGCTACTGAGAGTGTTGGCATTGGTGACTGAGCGAGAGCTTGCAGCTGGTGAGAGAGTGAGTGAGCAGATGGTGAGCGAGCGAGTTCACAGCCAGGTGAATGCGCTCACAGTCGAGGATTGGTTGTGTGATTGAGCTAACAGCCGGTGAGCGAGCGAGTGAGTGAGCGAGCGAGTGGGTGAGTGAGCGAGTGAGAGAGCGAGTGAGTGAGTGAGTGAGCGAGCGAGTGAGCGGGTGAGTCAGTGAGTGAATGAGTAAGTGAGCTAGCGAGTGAGTGAGCGAGCGGGTGAGCGAGCGAGTGAGAGAGCGAGTGAGCGAGTGAGTGAGCGAGCGAGTGAGCGGGTGAGTCAGTGAGTGAATGAGTAAGTGAGCGAGTGAGTGAGTGAGCGAGTGAGTGAGTGAGTGAGCGAGTGAGTGGGTGAGTCAGTGAGTGAATGAGTAAGTGAGCGAGTGAGTGAGTGAGTGAGCGAGCGAGTGAGTGAGCGAGTAAGCAAGTAAGTGAGTGAGTGAGCGAGTGAGTGGGTGAGTCAGTGAGTGAATGAGTGAGTGAGTGAGCGAGTGAGTGAGTGAGCGAGTGAGTGAGTGACTGAGTGAGCGAGCGAGTGAGCGAGTGAGTGGGTGAGTCAGTGAGTGAATGAGTGAGTGAGTAAGCAAGTGAGAGAGTGAGTGAGCGAGTGGGCACACAGCTGCTGAGTGAGTGAGTGTGTGAGTGAGCGAGCGAGTAAGTGTGTGAGTTAGTGAGTGAGTGGGTGAGTGAGCGAGTGAGTGAGTGAGTGAGCGAGCGAGTGAGTTAGTGAGTGAGTGAGCGAGTGAGTGAGTGAGTGAGCGAGTGAGTGAGTGAGTGAGCGAGTGAGTGTGTGAGTGAGCGAGTGAGTGTGTGAGTGAGTGAGTGTGTGAGTGAGTGAGCGAGTGAGTGTGTGAGTGTGTGAGTGAGCGGGTGAGTCAGTGAGTGGGTGAGTGAGCGGGTGAGTGGGCGAGCGGGTGAGTGAGCGAGCGAGCGCCTCTATCTCAAGGCTTGCCGACTTGCGGACAGAGAGGTGACCACGAGGCCAGACCCCAGGTCAAACCCACGCCCCTCCTTCTCCTGCGCACACACAGAGTGGTGACGGTGGTGGTGGTGACGGTGGTGGTGACGGTGGTGGTGACGGTGGTGGTGGTGACGGTGGTGGTGACGGTGTTGGAGGTGACGGGTGATGGTGATAGTGGTGGAGGCAGAAAGGAGGAGTATTCAGGCGTTGTATACAAGGACACACACAGAGGGTAGGAAGCAGTCTGTGTGAGTCTATGGGTCTCTGTGTGAGTCTATGGGTCTCTGTGTGAGTCTATGGGGCTCTGTGAGTCTATGGGCCTCTGCTGTGTGAGTCTATGGGTCGCTGTGTGAGTCTATGGGTCTCTGTGTGAGTCTATGGGTCTCTGTGTGAGTCTATGGGTCTCTGTGTGAGTCTATGGGTCTCTGCGTGAGTCTATGGGTCTCTGCGTGAGTCTATGGGTCTCTGTGTGAGTCTATGGGTCTCTGTGTGAGTCTAAGGGTCTCTGTGTGAGTCTATGGGTCTCTGAGTGAGTCTATGGGTCTCTGTGTGAGTCTATGGGTCTCTGCGTGAGTCTATGGGTCTCTGCGTGAGTCTATGGGTCTCTGCGTGAGTCTATGGGTCTCTGAGTGAGTCTATGGGTCCCTGTGTGAGTCTATGTGTCTCTGTGACTCTATGGGTCTCTGTGTGAGTCTATGGGTCTCTGAGTGAGTCTATGGATCTCTGTGTGAGTCTATGGGTCTCTGTGTGAGTCTATGGGTCTCTGTGTGAGTCTATGTGTCTCTGTGTGACTCTATGGGTCTCTGCTGTGTGAGTCTGTGGGTCTCTGTGTGAGTCTATGGGTCTTTGTGTGAGTCTGTGGGTCTCTGTGTGAGTCTATGGGTCTCTGTGTGAGTCAATGGGTCTCTGTGTGAGTCTATGGGTCTCTGTGAGTCTATGGGTCTCTGTGTGAGTCTATGGGTCTCTGCGTGAGTCTATGGGTCTCTGTGTGAGTCTATGCATCTCTGTGTGAGTCTATGGGTCTCTGTGAGTCTATGGGTCTCTGTGTGAGTCTATGGGTCTCTGCGTGAGTCTATGGGTCTCTGCGTGAGTCTATGGGTCTCTGTGTGAGTCTATGGGTCTCTGTGTGAGTCTAAGGGTCTCTGTGTGAGTCTATGGGTCTCTGAGTGAGTCTATGGGTCTCTGTGTGAGTCTATGGGTCTCTGCGTGAGTCTATGGGTCTCTGTGTGAGTCTATGGGTCTCTGTGAGAGTCTATGGGTCTCTGTGTGAGTCTATGTGTCTCTGTGTGACTCTATGGGTCTCTGTGTGAGTCTATGGGTCTTTGTGTGAGTCTATGGGTCTCTATGTGAGTCTATGGGTCTCTATGCGAGTCTACGGGTCTCTATGGGAGTCTATTGGTCTCTATGTGAGTCTATGGGTCTCTATGTGAGTCTATGGGTCTCTGTGTGAGTCTGTGGGTCTCTGTGCGAGTCTATGTGTCTCTGTGTGAGTCTATGGGTCTCTGGTTGAGTCTATGGGTCTCTGAGTGAGTCTATGGGTCTCTGAGTGAGTCTATGGGTCTCTGAGTGAGTCTGTGGGTCTCTGTGCGAGTCTATGTGTCTCTGTGTGAGTCTATGTGTCTCTGTGTGAGTCTATGGGTCTCTGTGTGAGTCTGTGGTTCTCTGTGTGAGTCTGTGGGTCTCTGTGTGAGTCTGTGGGTCTCTGTGTGAGTCTATGGGTCTCTGTGTGAGTCTATGGTTCTCTGTGTGAGTCTGTGGGTCTCTGTGTGAGTCTATGGGTCTCTGTGTGAGTCTATGGGTCTCTGAGTGAGTCTATGGGTCTCTGTGTGAGTCTATGGGTCTCTGTGTGAGTCTATGGGTCTCTGTGTGAGTCTATGTGTCTCTGTGTGAGTCTATGTATCTGTGTGAGTCTATGGGTCTCTGTGTGAGTCTATGTGTCTCTGTGTGAGTCTATGTGTCTCTGTGTGAGTCTATGTATCTGTGTGAGTCTATGGGTCTCTGTGTGAGTCTATGGGTCTCTGTGTGAGTCTATGTGTCTCTGAGTGAGTCTATAGGTCTCTGTGTGAGTCTATGTGTCTCTGAGTGAGTCTATGGGTCTCTGTGTGAGTCTATGTTTCTCTGTGTGAGTCTATGGGTCTCTGTGTGAGTCTATGGGTCTCTGTGTGAGGCTATGTGTCTTTGTGTGAGTCTATGTGTCTCTGTGTGAGTCTATGTATCTGTGTGAGTCTATGGGTCTCTGTGTGAGTCTATGGGTCTTTGTGTGAGTCTATGTGTCTCTGTGTGAGTCTATGGGTCTCTGTGTGAGTCTATGGGTCTCTGTGAGTCTATAGGTCTCTGCAGTGTAAGTCTATGGGTCTCTGTGCGAGTCTATGGGTCTCTGCGTGAGTCTAAGGGTCTCTGTGTGAGTCTATGGGTCTCTGAGTGAGTCTATGGGTCTCTGTGTGAGTCTATGTGTCTCTGTGTGAGTCTATGGGTCTCTGTGTGAGTCAATGGGACTCTGTGTGAGTCTGTGGGTCTCTGTGTGAGTCTATGTGTCTCTGTGTGAGTCTATGTGTCTCTGTGTGAGTCTATGGGTCTCTGTGTGAGTCTATGGGTCTCTGTGTGAGTCAATGGGACTCTGTGTGAGTCTGTGGGTCTCTGTGTGAGTCTGTGGGTCTCTGTGTGAGTCTATGTATCTGTGTGAGTCTATGTGTCTCTGTGTGAGTCTATGGGTCTCTGTGTGAGTCTATGGGTCTCTGTGTGAGTCTATGGGTCTCTGCGTGAGTCTATGGGTCTCTGTGTGAGTCTGTGGGTCTCTGTGTGAGTCTATGGGTCTCTGTGTGAGTCTATAGGTCTCTGCATGAGTCTATGGGTCTCTGCGTGAGTCTATGGGTCTGTGTGAGTCTATGTGTCTCTGTGTGAGTCTATGGGTCTCTGTGTGAGTCTATGGGTCTCTGTGTGAGTCTATGGGTCTCTGCGTGAGTCTATGGGTCTCTGTGTGAGTCTATGGGTCTCTGTGTGAGTCTGTGGGTCTCTGTGTGAGTCTATGTATCTGTGTGAGTCTATGTGTCTCTGTGTAAGTCTATGGGTCTCTGTGTGAGTCTATGGGTCTCTGTGTGAGTCTATGGGTCTCTGCGTGAGTCTATGGGTCTCTGTGTGAGTCTATGGGTCTCTGTGTGAGTCTATGGGTCTCTGTGTGAGTCTATAGGTCTCTGCGTGAGTCTATGGGTCTCTGCGTGAGTCTATGGGTCTCTGCGTGAGTCTATGGGTCTCTGAGTGAGTCTATGGGTCCCTGTGTGAGTCTATGTGTCTCTGTGACTCTATGGGTCTCTGTGTGAGTCTATGGGTCTCTGAGTGAGTCTATGGGTCTCTGTGTGAGTCTATGGGTCTCTGTGTGAGTCTATGGGTCTCTGTGTGAATCTATGTGTCTCTGTGTGACTCTATGGGTCTCTGCTGTGTGAGTCAATGGGACTCTGTGTGAGTCTGTGGGTCTCTGTGTGAGTCTATGTGTCTCTGTGTGAGTCTATGTGTCTCTGTGTGAGTCTATGGGTCTCTGTGTGAGTCTATGGGTCTCTGTGTGAGTCAATGGGACTCTGTGTGAGTCTGTGGGTCTCTGTGTGAGTCTGTGGGTCTCTGTGTGAGTCTATGTATCTGTGTGAGTCTATGTGTCTCTGTGTGAGTCTATGGGTCTCTGTGTGAGTCTATGGGTCTCTGTGTGAGTCTATGGGTCTCTGCGTGAGTCTATGGGTCTCTGTGTGACTCTATGGGTCTCTGTGTGAGTCCATGTGTCTGTGTCGTACCGCGCGGTAATCCAGAAACATCTCCTTGAACGCGAGGAAGTCGCTGAATGTGAGCAAGAGATCAAAGATGTCTCCTGTCACCTCCTCCTTGTGCTCCCTGCGACATCAACACCACCACCACCATCATCACCACCACCACCATCATCACCACCATCACCACCACCACCATCATCATCACCATCACCACCACCACCACCACCATCATCACCACCACCACCACCATCATCATCACCACCACCACCATCATCACCACCATCACCACCATCACCACCACCACCATCACCACCACCATCACCACCACCACCATCATCACCATCACCATCATCACCATCACCATCATCACCATCACCATCATCACCATCATCATCACCATCATCATCACCACCACCACCACCATCATCATCATCATCATCACCACCATCATCATCACCACCACCACCATCACCACCAGCACCACCACCATCACCACCGCCATAACCACCATCACCACTACCACCACCCCTACTACCATCACCACCACCCCCACCATCACTACCCCCATCATCACCTCAACCCACCATCACCACCACCATCACCACCCCCACCATCACCACCACCATCCCCACTAGCACCACCACCATCACCACCACCATCACCACTAGCACCATCACCACCACCATCACCACCATCAGCACCACCACCACCCCCACCATCACCACCACCATCCCCACTAGCACCACCACCATCACCACCACCATCCCCACCACCACCAACCACACCACCACCATCACCACCACCATCCCCACTAGCACCACCACCATCACCACCACCATCACCACCACCATCACCACCATCACCACCACCACCATCACCACCACCACCACCATCACCACCACCACCATCATCATCACCACCACCATCACCACCACCACCATCCCCACTAGCACCACCACCATCACCACCACCATCACCACCATCCCAACTAGCACCATCACCACCACCACCATCAGCACCACCACCACCATCCCCACCACCACCATCACCACCATCAGCACCACCGTTATCACCTCCGAGCTACATCACGGACATTGCAAGTTGTTGTTGTTGTTGTTGATGATGTTGATGATGTTGTTGTTATTGATAATGCTGTTGATGACAATAATGTTGCTGATATAACTCTATTGATGATGATATTGTTTGACGTTGTTATTGATGATGATGGTGTTATTGATAATGTTGTTGACAATGTTGTTGATGTTACTGATAATGTTGTTGACAATGTTGTTGTTGATGATGTTATTGATATATGTTGTTGACAATGTTGTTGTTGATGATATTATTGATATTGTTGTTGACAATGTTATTGTTGATGATGTTATTGATATTCTTGTTGACAATGTTGTTGTTGATGATGTTACTGATAAAGTTGTTGACAATGTTGTTGTTGATTATGTTATTGATGTTGTTGACAATGTTGTTGTTGATGATGTTATTGATAATGTTGTTGACAATGTTGTTGTTGATGATGTTATTGATAATGTTGTTGACAATGTTGTTGTTGATGTTATTGATAATGTTGTTGACAATGTTGTTGTTGATGATGTTATTGATTATGTTGTTGACAATGTTGTTGTTGATGATGTTATTGATAATGTTGTTGACAATGTTGTTGTTGATGATGTTATTGATAATGTTGTTGACAATGTTGTTGTTGATGATGTTATTGATAATGTTGTTGACAATGTTGTTGTTGATTATGTTATTGATAATGTTGTTGACAATGTTGTTGTTGATGATGTTATTGATAATGTTGTTGACAATGTTGTTGTTGATTATGTTATTTATAATGTTGTTGACAATGTTGTTGATGATGTTATTGATAATGGTGTTGACAATGTTGTTGTTGATTATGTTATTGATAATGTTGTTGACAATGTTGTTGTTGATGATGTTATTGATATTGTTGTTGACAATGTTGTTGTTGATGATATTATTGATGTTGTTGACAATGTTGTTGTTGATGATGTTATTGATAATGGTGTTGACAATGTTGTTGTTGATGATGTTATTGATAATGTTGTTGACAATGTGTTGTTGATTATGTTATTGATAATGCTGTTGACAATGTTGTTGTTGATTATGTTATTGATAATGTTGTTGACAATGTTGTTGTTGATTATGTTATTGAAAATGTTGTTGACAATTTTGTTGTTGATGATGCTATTGATAATGCCATGTTTTATGTGATTCACGTTGTTCATGCTGTCGACGGTGAAGTTATTGATGCTGGTGAAGTTATTGATAATGTTGATGGTGATGTTGATGGTGATGAAGATGCTCATGTTGTTGATGTTGATGGTGATGTTGATGGTGCTGTTGATGGTGATGTTGGTGGTGATTTTGATGTTGATGGTGATGTTGATGGTGATGCTGATGGCGATGTTGATGGTGATGGTAGTGGTGATGTTGATGGTGATGTTGATGCTGATGGCGATGTTGGTGGTGATGTTGATGGTGATATTGGTGGTGATGTTGATGTTGATAGTGATATTGGTGGTGATGTTGATGTTGGTGGTGATGTTGATGTTGGTGGTGATGTTGGTGGTGATGTTGGTGGTGATGTTGATGTTGGTGATGTTGATGTTGATGGTGATGTTGGCGGTGATGTTGATGTTGGTGGTGATGTTGATGTTGGTGGTGATGTTGATGGTGATGTTGATGGTGATGTTGGTGATGGTGATGTTGGCGGTGATGTTGATGTTGGTGGTGATGTTGATGTTGGTGGTGATGTTGATGGTGATGTTGATGGTGATGTTGGTGATGGTGATGTTGGCGGTGATGTTGATGTTGGTGGTGATGTTGATGTTGGTGGTGATGTTGATGTTGGTGGTGATGGTGATGTTGGTGGTGATGTTGATGGTGATGTTGATGGTGATGTTGATGGTGATGTTGATGGTGGTGTTGATGGTGATGTTGATGGTGATGTTGGTGGTGATGTTGATGGTGATGTTGATGTTGGTGGTGATGTTGATGTTGGTGGTGATGTTGATGTTGGTGGTGATGTTGATGGTGATGTTGATGTTGGTGATGGTGATGTTGGCGGTGATGTTGATGTTGGTGGTGATGTTGATGTTGGTGGTGATGTTGATGTTGGTGGTGATGTTGATGTTGGTGGTGATGTTGATGTTGGTGGTGATGGTGATGGTGATGTTGGTGGTGATGTTGATGGTGATGTTGATGGTGATGTTGATGGTGGTGTTGATGGTGATGTTGATGGTGATGTTGGTGGTGATGTTGATGGTGATGTTGATGGTGATGTTGATGGCGATGCTGATGGCGATGTTGATGGTGATGGTAGTGGTGATGTTGGTGGTGATGTTGATGGTGATGTTGGTGGTGATGTTGGTGATGGTGATGTTGGCGGTGATGTTGGTGGTGATGTTGATGTTGGTGATGTTGGTGGTGTTGATGGTGATGTTGGTGTTGATGTTGATGGTGATGTTGGTGGTGATGTTAATGGGGATGTTGGTGGTGATGTTGATGGTGATGTTGATGGTGATCTTGATGGTGATGTTGATGGTGGTGTTGATGGTGATGTTGATGGTGATGTTGGTGGTGATGTTGATGGTGATGTTGATGGTGATGTTGATGGCGATGCTGATGGCGATGTTGATGGTGATGGTAGTGGTGATGTTGGTGGTGATGTTGATGGTGATGTTGGTGGTGATGTTGGTGATGGTGATGTTGGCGGTGATGTTGGTGGTGATGTTGATGGTGATGTTGGTGATGTTGGTGGTGATGTTGATGGTGATGTTGGTGTTGATGTTGATGGTGATGTTGGTGGTGATGTTAATGGGGATGTTGGTGGTGATGTTGATGGTGATGATGATGGTGATGTTGATGTTGGTGTTGATGGTGATGTTGATGTTGGTGTTGATATTGATGGTGATGTTGGTGGGGATGTTGGTGGTGATGTTGATGGTGATATTGGTGATGCTGGTGGTGATGGTGATGTTGATGTTTGTTGATGTTGATGGTGATGTTGGTGGTGATGTTGATGATGATATTGGTGATGTTGGTGGTGATGGTGATGGTGATGTTGGTGTTGATGGTGATGGTGATGTTGGTGTTGATGTTGATGTTGATGGCGATGTTGATGGTGATGGTAGTGGTGATGTTGGTGGTGATGTTGATGGTGATGTTGATGTTGGTGGTGATGTTGGTGATGGTGATGTTGGCGGTGATGTTGGTGGTGATGTTGATGGTGATGTTGGTGATGTTGGTGGTGATGTTGATGGTGATGTTGGTGTTGATGTTGATGGTGATGTTGGTGGTGATGTTAATGGGGATGTTGGTGGTGATGTTGATAGTGATGTTGATGGTGATGTTGATGTTGGTGTTGATGGTGATGTTGATGTTGGTGTTGATATTGATGGTGATGTTGGTGGGGATGTTGGTGGTGATGTTGATGGTGATATTGGTGATGCTGGTGGTGATGGTGATGTTGATGTTTGTTGATGTTGATGGTGATGTTGGTGGTGATGTTGATGATGATATTGGTGATGTTGGTGGTGATGGTGATGGTGATGTTGGTGGTGATGTTGATGATGATATTGGTGATGTTGGTGGTGATGGTGATGTTGATGGTGATATTGGTGATGATGATGTTGATGGTAATGTTGGTGTTGATGTTGGTGTTGATGGTGATATTGGTGATGTTGATGATGGTGATGTTGATGTTGGTGTTGATGGTGATGTTGATGGTGATGTTGGTGTTGATGGTGATGTTGATGGTGATGTTGACTCACGGGAGGGACTGCACGAATGTAGCCATGCTGAACCCAGGCAATCGCGCACTCAGCTGAGCGGTGATATAGCCCTCAATGAGCTCCATCTGCAACATCAACATCACCATCAACATCACCATCAACATCAACATCACCATCAACATCACCATCAACATCAATATCACCACCAACATCACCATCAACATCACCATCACCATCAACATCACCATCACCATCAACATCACCATCAACATCAACATCACCATCAACATCAACATCACCATCAACATCACCATCACCACCAACATCAACATCACCATCAACATCACCATCACCATCAACATCACCATCAACATCAACATCACCATCAACATCACCATCAACATCACCATCAACATCACCATCAACATCACCATCAACATCACCATCAACATCACCATCAACATCACCATCAACATCACCATCAACATCAACATCACGATCACCATCAACATCACCATCAACATCAACATCACCATCAACATCACCATCAACATCACCATCAACATCACCATCAACATCACCATCAACATCACCATCAACATCAACATCACCATCAACATCAACATCACCATCAACATCACCATCAACATCACCATCAACATCACCATCAACATCACGATCACCATCAACATCACCATCAACATCAACATCACGATCACCATCAACATCACCACCATCACCAGCATCACCACCATCACCACGACCACCATAGCCATCACTGGGGGGCACGTGCCACTCATCTCAACTCCACCCAACACAACTCCACCCAACTCAACACAACTCCACCCAACTCAACTCAACTCCACCCAACTCAACACAACTCGACTCCACTCCACCCAACACAACTCAACACAACTCCACCCCAACTCAACCCCACTCAACACAACTCCACCCCAACTCAACTCCACCCAACTCAACTCCACCCAACTCAACACAACTCCAGTCAACTCATCTCAACTCCACCCAACACAACTCCACCCAACACAACTCCACCCAACTCAACTCAACTCAACACAACTCCACCCAACTCCACTCAACTCCACTCAACTCCACTCAACACAACTCCACCCCAACACAACTCCACCCAACTCAACACAACTCCACCCAACACAACTCCACCCAACTCAACACAACTCCACCCAACACAACTCCACACAACTCAACACAATTCCACTCCACCCCACACAAGGCGTGTGTGTGTGCGTGTGTATGTGTGTGTGCGTGTGTGTGTGCGTGTGTGTGTGTGCGTGTGTATGTGTGTGTGCGTGTGTGCGTGCGTGTGTGCGTGTGTATGTGTGTGCTTGTGTGTGCGCATCAGTAGGCCTGGGCTCTGGGTCGTTCTTCGTGCTTTTGGAGTACCTGACCCTCTGCTCACGATCATTAAGGACCTTCATGATGGTGAGCGGGCCCGGGTAAAACTACGTGGCCGGGAGTCAGAGCCATTCCCTGTACACCTTGGGGTGCGACAGGGATGTCCTCTGGCTCCCACATTATTTAACATCTATTTTGACCACGTAGTTCGTGAAGCCTTCAATAGCTGTACCGGGGGAATCTCCATATGGTACAGATATAATGGGAGGCTGATCGATGTCCGGGTGCGGTCAAGGGATGGCTCCCTATTGCTCAACCACGTTATGTATGCTGATGATTTGGTAATAGCTGCTCAGAGGAGGAGTTGGAGACGCTACTGCTGAGACTGGAGCGTGCCACTAAGAGGTGGGGCCTTACCATCAGCCCCACCAAAACTAAGCACCTGCCTGGGTATTTTCTACCATCGGACACTCCACCCCCACAACTCCCAATCGGTGATGGGGCAGTTGTGGAGAGAGTGGAGAGTTTCCCATACCTGGGCAGTGTGCTTATAACCGGCT